CCCTAGAGGAGCTGGGCGTCAGACTCTTGGGACAAAATTACTCTCAACAACACTCTCTGGCCGTGATCTGTTTATTGATGAATAAAGGTGTTCGAAGCTGAGACCAGTACTGTGTCGGAACTGAGGCTCTGGTGGCAGAACCCCCAATTATAGCCAGTTCAAACCAGGCCCTCCCTTTTGGGTCCCGTCCAATAATACCCCACAATCATCCACCCACACCTGTGAATAAGAACGTAAGGGAAGCCCATGTTGGATCAGGCCAAAGGCCCGTCCAGTCCAACACGCTGTGTCACACAGTGGCCAAAAATGCCAGGGGCCATCAGGAGGTCCACCAGTGGGGCCAGAGGACACTAGAAGCCCTCCTACCGTTGCCCCCCCCCAAGCGCCCGCGAATACAGAGCATCCCTCGCCCCAGACCGAGAGTTCCTGTCTATACCTTGTGGCTCATACCCCCTGATGGGCCTCTGCTCCATATACCGTTATTTTCTCTTAGGACCGCAAAGCAGGCCCAGTCTCCTCCAAGGTCATCCCTGCATGGGGAGGTATCTTATCGTAGAATCATAGAATGTTAGAGTTGGAAGGGACCTTGGAGGTCATCTAGTCCAACCCCCTGCACTCTGCAGGAACATAGCTGAAAGATAGCCCCACATACCTACGACATACCCAAAAGATGGTCGTCCAGCCTCCACTTGAAAACGTCCAGCGAAGGAGCTTCCACCACCTCCCGAGGCAGACTGTTCCACTGCTCAACCACTCTGACAGTTAGGAAGTTTCTCCTGATATTTAGCCAGTAACGACTCCCTTGTCATTTCCACCCATTAGATCTAGTCTTGCAATCCGGAGTAAGAGAGAATAGATCTGCTCCATCTTCTACATGACAGCCCTTCAAATACTTGAAGACTGCAATCCTGTCCCCTCTAAGCCTTCTCTTTCCCAGGCTAAACAGACCCAACTCTTTCAGCCTTTCCTTGTAAGACTTGGATTCCAACCCTCTCACCATCCTGGTTGCCCTCTTCTGGCCACGCTCGAGCTTGTCAACATCCTTCCTCAAATTTGGTGCCCAAAACTGGACACGGTACTCCAGGTGGGGCCTGACCATAGCAGAAGAGAGCGGAACTACCACCTCCCATTATCTGGACGCAATGCTTCTGTTAATTTTTAGGAAGAGTTACGTTGCCACTACAACGGAGCCCTTCTCACACATTCCGTCTGCAGGCCCCCAATCCCCCCAAACTATGGCAAATGAGCGTTCGAGTTTGACACTGGGCCTTCTTCAGGACCCCGCTCCGGGTTTTGCACCCCTGGATTAGAGGGTGCAGGCCACGCTCCTTGGCCCCGATGACAGTGAAGGGGGGGTGGGGCGACCGTGTGACCCCCCCCGGGAAGCCCCGACGGGTGGCGCTCAAGCTGTGTTGCGGAGGGTGGGGCTTGTGTGTCTGGCGGGCATCTCCCAGGAACAAATGGAAGCGGGCAAGGATTGCCAGGGAGCAGGAAATGAAGGGAAAATCAATGTGCTGTTGGAGCATTGTGGCCGGCCGCTCCCGGCCCAGGGAGGCCTAAAAGCTTTTGCTAATGAGAGCTGCCGTCTCTTGGGGATCCGGGCCAGTGCCGAAGCCGCCTGTGCCAGCAGCCGAGGCAGGGCCTTTCTTGTCTCCTCTCGGTGCGCAACCCACACTTAGGAGAATCAGGCCTGCCTCCAGGACGGGACCGAACCCGTGTCCAGTGTTCCCTCTAAGCCGAGTCAGTGTGAGCCAGCTCACCGTTTTTTGGCCTCCGGCTCACACATTTTTTTGTCCTAGCTCAGGAAGGCTGGGGCTCCAGAGCAAACTGATTGAAGCAGCAACCCAATCGCTCGCTCACAAGGGAGAATTTTTGCTCACAAGGCTCCACAGTGTAGAGGGAGTACCGCCCGTGTCCTGTCCTTTAAAGAAATCCCGTCTCAACACATTGCGAATTGGACTTTGCCTGCCGCTTCCCCAAGCTTGTCTGCAGTTTAGCTTTTAAAGGGCCAGACGGCTCTCTTGCACCAGCTCTGGGCTGCTTGTTCCTTTGTAAAGGCAAAAGGCCAGGCCTGCCCCCCCAATCAGCTGGGGGGGGGGGGCGCCACGAAGTGACCTTTCAGCTCCCGGCCTCCCTCTGACATCTGATGACATTCTCTTCCTCTGTGTCGGTATCTCTGGCCCCACTTATTTTTCTCTGGCTAAGCAGGAGCTCTGCCTGCGGCCTCCCTCCCTCCCTCGGGGGATCTTGGGTGTCAGCGTTATCCTCCCATTAGATGCACCGATAGTGGAAGAGTGGAGCTGGAAAACGCTTGCCTGCCTGCCTGCACTCCTGGGTATCAGCTTCCTTTTTGGGGAGGAGGCAGCCTCTCTCTGCCAGCAGAAGCGAGAACTTCAGAAATCCGGCCCGTATCTTGGAAGCCACGAGACGCATACGTTGATTGGACTAACCCTCCTGCCTTTGGGGTTGTTGTGGGAATTGCCCAGTTGGTGCCAGCTGGGTGAAAGGAACCCGGGGAGGGCCTCTCACAGCAAAGAAGATCCTAATGGGGAGATGCGCTGGGGGTGTGTGTGTGGGGAGAATACCCAGACCTCTTACTAGTTCTTCTGATAGAAAGCACCGATTTCATTCCTATGAAATATTTTCTGTTTTGGAATGGGGGAGATGTTTGAAAAGGCACAATTTGACTCGCTTGGAATCTGTAGCATGAAGACCTTTGTGTGAGACAACCCAAAGAGTAATTAGCACCTGGGATTCACTTCCATCAGTGGCTATTATCCACAAGGGATAGATGGAGGGCTGTGTCTGGGGCAGTGATGCTCTGTATCCTTGGTGCTTGGGGGGGGGGCGTAAGAGTGGGAGGGCTTCTGGACCGCCTGCTGGTGGATCTCCTGATGTCCTCTGGGTTTTGGCCACTGTGCGACACAGAGTATTGTATTGGATGAGCCATTAGCCTGATCCAACAGGGCTTCTCTTATGTTCTTATGTCTGGGGCAGCGATGCTCTGTATCCTTGGTGCTGGGGGGCCCACAGTGGGAGCTCTCTCAGCCCCACCCGCCTCACAGGGTGTCTGTCTGTTGTGGGGAGGGGAAGGGGAAGGAGTCTGTAAGCCCCTCTGAGGCTCCTTTGGGGAGTGAAGGGCCGCGGGGGTATAGATCCAGTCTCCCCTTCTGCTGCTGCTTGGCCTTTCCCCTTCTTAAGGATTAACCGGGCGCAGTAGCAATTTCTGCCCGCTCCTGTTCTTGCCCCCCCCCCCCGGCCGTTCCCCCCCCTTCCCTCGTCTGAGCCTCTGCATTTCGGGACGCGGGGTGTGCGTGTGCGCTCGCTACTTGACTCGAAGTCGTGGCCATTTTGATGGGGGGGGTGGTCAGGCTCAGAGCCGTCCAGTTGCTGGGGTGTGGGGGTGGATCTGGTCTTCTGAGCCACATGCAGTCATTTATTTATTTAAATTTGTACCCCCCCCCCCGCCCTCCCCGCCATGGCAGGCTTAGGGCGGCTGACGTAATAAAAGCAATAAACATCCCAAATCTGAAAACATCCTTCAAACAATTCAATTAGACAGTTCACTAAAACCAACTTAAAATATGATAAAGTGCTATCAGTTGACTTACGATACCAAAGATGGCCTCATGCGTTCTATAACTTTGCTTGATTTTCCGCTCGATGGCCTTTCTCCGCTCCGGTCGGTGAGCACAGGCTCTCCGTCACGGACCAGGCACCAGGCTTCGGTTGTTATTGACGATGGTCGTGGTGGTAAGATTGGCGGCGCCTTAGTTGAAGGCCTGGCGGAAGAGCTCCGTCTTGCAGGCCCTGCGGAACTGTGAGAGGTCCCGCAGGGCCCTGATCTCCTCTAGGAGCTCATTCCACCAGGTTGGAGCCGCCACCGAAAAAGCCCTGGCCCTGGTTGCAACTAGCCTGGCTTCCTTGGGGCTTGGACGTCCAGTCGATTTTGTGACCCTGACCGAAGTGCTCTCTGGGGTACGTGTGGGGAAAGGCGGTCCCTCAGGTATGTCGGACCCTGGCCATTGAGTGCTTTACAGGTAAGCACCGGCACCTTGAAGCGAATCCGGTGTGCTATCGGCAGCCAGTGCGATGCCTTCAGGACAGGCTGGTTGTGCTCCCTCGTGGGGAGACCCCCTCAGAAGCCTGTCCGCAGCATTTTGCACCAGCTGCAGCCATCCATTCCTCCTCCTTCCTGTGCGCTGAGATCAGAGCCTGCGTCATGCCTGCATCTTCCCTGACGTGTCTGACGCTCCCTCAGCCGCCTCTTGCAGAATAATGGGCCGTGGCCGCCCAGGCCTCCTGGTAGTTCTTGCTTTCCAGTTTGGACCAGTAACAAAAAAGCTGTAAACAACTGCGTTGGCCCACGCAGAATTCCCCTCCAAAAAAGAAACCCAATCATGTCCTTTGTTTCTTGTTTCCATAAAAAGGTGTGTCAGGTTTGAGTACTGTCCCGGAAACCCAATTAACCGGGTGGGGAAGAAGCCGGTCCTAGGAAGACGAGTTCAACAGTGCCCTCTAGTGACAGACGCGTTGCAGTCATCCCTTTGGTCGGCTCCTGATTTCTCCCCTTTTGATGCTTTGCTTGCGGACTTGAGTGTCTCCCCCCCCGTCCTTTTGCCAAGTTCCGGATGGCTTGCAATAAACTCATCATGTTCACCTCAAAGGGATCTGGGGCTGGTTATTTTATCTTCGGTTTTAGCTGGGGACCTTTTTGCTATTATTCGGCAATTCGAGACCTGAGTGTGCCGCATGACGGAGTGAGCTCCCCGTCTCCGGCCCCAGCTCCTGCCAGCCTAGCAGTTCGAAAGCAAGACATTGCAAGTAGATAAATGGGTACCGCTTCAGTGGGAAGGTAACAGCGTTCCGTGCGCCTTGGCGTCTAGTCATGCCGGCCACATGACCACGGAGAAGTCTTCGGAGATCTATTCCTTTGTTTTTTGCTTTATGTGGAATTGGCATTAATTTTGATTTTGTATGGTGCTCTTTCTCCTCCGCAGAGCATCGTCTCCAAGAATGCCCTGCAGTACCGCGGCAGCTCCCAGCACGACGCTCAAGAATTCCTCCTCTGGCTGCTGGACAGAGTCCACGAGGACCTCAACAACCTGATGAAGAACAACGGCAGCCCCCCTCTGAAGGTAAGACCAGCCACGCGGCCCAGGCAGGGCTTCCGGGGCCATGCGGCTGCTACTGACCAGGAGAGGGGAGGGCCAGGCGTGGGGCTCGGGTGGGCCCATCCCCGTCGTTTGTCTTTCCATGGCCGTTTGCGCGTGGACTCCTGGGCCACCAGACTCTGCTTGTTGGGGCACGATTTGGCTCACTTTGGGTGGGGTTTTGATGTTTAGGTGGGTTTGCCCTGGAGAGTTCTGGGTGCCGGGAGGGCTGCCTCTCTTGGACTGCTGCCTTCAAGGCCCCCGTTGAAAAGGTTCCTTCCTGTTTGGGGTCTTCCCTGAGAGCCGCGGGGGCCCCCGGGAGTGCCTCCGCCCGCCTGACCGAAATGCCTTTTCCTCCCCAGCCCCCTTTCGAGGAGCCGGTGTTGATCGAGGGACCAGCCTTCCCCATAAACAGCTCTTTTGTCCAGGAGCTCTTCCAGGCCCAGTACAGGTACGGCCTCCCTCGGGCAGGGCTGGATGTGGTGCCCGATTCCTGGTAGGGAAGACCTCTCCTTGGGCTTTCAAAACGGCCACCTGTGTTTGAACTGAATGTCTGTTTTGCTCCTCGATCCGTGATGGGAGTGGACGGGAAAGGAGGCCTCGGGGCCGGGGGCTCATTCTCCCCGGGGAAGGGGTCCTCGGCCTCACCAGCAGGAGAAGAGGCAGTCAGGCCGTTTCCCGGCTGGACCGTTTCAGACAGAGGGTGTGTGGACCAGCGTTCCCTCTAAGCGGAGTCAGTGTGAGCTAGCTCACCGTTTTTTAGCCTCCGGCTCACACGTTTTTGTCTTCGCTCAGGAAGGATGGGGCTCCAGAGCAAACTCATTGATGCAGCAGCCAAATTGCTCGCTCACAACTTTAATGCCAGGAGCTCACAAAGCAGAATTTTTGCTCATGAGACTCCACAGCTTAGAGGGAGCCTTGGTGTGGACCAGTGTTCCCTCTAAGTTGAGTTAGTGTGAGCGAGCTCACCGTTTTTTAGCCTCCGGCTCACACATTTTTGTCTCCGCTCAGGAAGGATGGGGCTCCAGAGCAAACTCATTCATGCAGTAGCCAAATGGCTCGCTCACAACTTTAAAGCCAGTAGCTCACAGAGCAGAATTTTTGCTCATGAGACTCCACAGCTTAGAGGGAGCCTTGGTGTGGACCCACCTCAAGAAACAGTCCTCTGCTCAGAAAACGAGCGTATGAAGGAGAAAGCTCAGCCGGAATGCTTCTCCCAGCACACACACACACAGATAACCTTTATTTTTTTGCATTGGAAAAATATTTTTTAATCCTGTGTGTCTCGGGTTGGGGGAATCCCTGGATATTTTGGGAGTGGAGTTTGGGGGAGGGGTTAGAGGTGTGGGGATGGGAGGGGCGGCTTCTCTCCTGCAGGAACTCCCCCCCCCCCACACACACACTCATTTGCTTGTGTGTTTGCTCCGCTGCCGCTGCCAGGTCTTCTCTGACGTGTCCCCATTGCCAGAAGCAGAGCAACACCTTCGACCCATTCCTATGCATCTCTCTGCCCATCCCGCTGCCTCACACCCGGTAGGTGTCAAGACAGGGGTTGGGGGGGGGGGCCTTGCCACTCGGGCACCGCGCTCTCCCCGCACGTCACGGGAGAGAGAGGCGGCTGTGGCCGAAGGGCCCCAGAGGCTGCTGGGAGGGGGCCGGCGGGTCTCTTCCCCAGGGAGGTTTCCACATCTGGTTCGGGGGACCTGTTGGAGGCGACGCGGGCATCCCGTAGCTGCACAGGTGAAGGGTTGCCAGATTTCCTCCTCTACGCCACTACAGGATCACGGCTCATAATATCCACAGAACAAGAGGAAAAAAAGGCCGTGGACATGTGCTGAATAATGCATAACTCTGCAGGCAATCAACAGTTCCAGGCTCGAGCGTCTTTCCACCTAAATGGCCCGTCTTCAGTTGTAATCTTAACTCCACACAGAAACTGTTGATTGCTTGCAGAATTACGCTACGTAAAAACATTGAGGTCCTATATATGTTGCCGTCCTTATTCAACAATGGATGGAAACTAGGAGACAAACTGATCTGCCTGGTCCCATCCAGATGAAGAGCTCTGAAACGACTGGATAGTCCAGAAAAACCCAGCTAGACGAAGGCAGGAGACGGCAACTGAAGTCTGGGCGCAGCCGGAGGCGATTCGGTGTGCCTGCATCCTTTCGTTTGATGCAGTGGTTAAGTGCAGGCGGACTCTAATCTGGGAGCACCGGGTTTGATTCCCCCACTCCTCCTCCACTTGCACCTGCTGGATGACCTTGGGCAAGCCATAGTTCTGACAAGAGCTGTTCTTGAAAAAGAGCAGTTTCTGTCCATCGCTCCTTTTCTGACACGGACGACCTGGACACGGTGCAAGAAAGCGACTGCATCTTTGCCTTCGAGACCCCGGAGATCTACCGGCCAGAGGGGATCCTGAGCCAGAGAGGTCAGTCTCTAATCTGGGAGAACCAGGTTTGATTCCTCACTTCTCCACATGCAGCCACTGGTGTGGCCTTGGGTCAGTGACAAGTTCTCTCAGAGCTGTTCTCTTAGGAGCAGTCCTCTCCTAAGAGCTCTCTCAGCCCCACCTACCCCACAGGGTGTCTGTTGTGGGGAGGGGAAGGGGAAGGAGTTTGTAAACCACTCTGAGACTCCTTTGGGCAGTGAAGGGCGGGGTATAAATCCAATATCTTCTTCATTTTCTTCTTCCTCCTCCTCCTCTTCTTCCTCTTCTTCTTCCTCCTCCTATTCCTCCTCTTCTTCTTCATCGTCGTAAACTATTGGGCCCAAACTTCAAACAGGCTTTAAAAAAATGGGGAGGCTTGCTGTCCAGAGCAAAGGGAAGGGCTCCGGCACGTGGCCACATGGTGCGAGCGGGGTCCTTGGTGATGAAGCCGTCCTCTCCTGCCTGCCTGCGGGGAGGGGTGGGGCCTGGCAGCCTCTCGCGCCAGTCACTTCTGCGCTGTTGTGTGGGGGTGGTGCAGGGCCTCGGCCGCGTGGCCCCAGCCTCCTGCTTCTGCCTCCCCAACTGCCTCTTGCGCCCCCTGCAGGCCGCTCTGCGTCACTGTGGTGTACCGAGGGAAGTGCTCCCACTGCATGCGCATCGGGGTGGCCGTGCCCCTGTCCGGCACAGTGGCCAGGCTGAGAGAAGCCGTCTCCAGAGAAACCAAAATCCCCACCAAGCAGGTGAGCTCACAACTCGGCCAGGCCGGGGCTCTCTGCTCGGCCGCCCTGCTCCACACCCGCTGCCCGTGGGCTTTGGCGCGTACACGGATCCCCCCCCCCGGGCCCTCTTGGCTCCACGTTCTCCTTCCTCTAGCGAGCCCACTCAGGGGGGGGGCAGGGCTCCGTCTGCCCCCCAGGAAACGGCCGGGGGG